AACCATCAAAATCCTTTTAATACTTCAAAAATCTTACATCAATTGAATAAAAAACTTTAGGATCCTTAAGCATTTCTTTTGGAACATGGCGAACATGATGAGAATCAAGGAGATACTGGATAAATGAGTAGTGGAACACAGGACGCCTCAGAGTGGACCTACAGATGTTTAGCTCATACAAGATGAACTTCACCCAATTAACTTCTTTTTGGGTAAGGAGAAGCCACGTAAGGTACATATCAAGTTTGTCAACTCTAGCCTAGTTACTAGGTTTCCGATACATAACTTTTAGAACAACCGAATGCAACATCTGCATTGCACATCTCATATGACTGATTTGAAATTTAGTCGTGTTAAGATGACCATTTTGAAATGTCTTAGAAATATTCTTAAAAAGTGTGCACGGTTGAAGCCAAGGGCATTAGATACATAAATTTCTACTCCCTTATATTCCAGCCCAAACATATTTTTAAAACCTAGATTAATAAGAAAAAGATATAGACATATAATTTGATATAGAGTGGTGGGGGTTTTGGGACAAAAAATGCATCCGCTTGGTTTCAGACTTGGTGCAACTCAAAGTCATGATTCTATTTGGTTTGCACAACCAATAATTTATTCCAAAAATGCAAAAGAAGATAAAATGATATGATATTGTATCAATGATTATATACAAAACACGGTACACGAATCCTTGGAATTCCAACCCTACCAAACTTAATCAACCTTCTATGAAATTGACAACGATTACCAGTAGATGAAGCTTCCATACGATAATAAAATGCTTTGGCATGATTCATATTAAACTTCCCATTGATTCTAATAAAGTTTAATAAATTGTGATTCTCAAAAGGTTGAAGGAAATCAATAATAATTTCAGTCTCAGTAGCTTTATCAACTTAGTACTTAGCTTCAATTAGTTTGTTGAGAAAGTAATTAACAAACATCTTGTATTCATCTTCAGTAATCAGATGGTTTACCTTGAGGGATAATGCAGTCGAGTCACGGTTTCAAGAATTGTCATATGGAGGGAGTGTGGGATAAGTCAAATTAGGATATGGAACTTTAGATGACTTAGATAAACTTCCAGAAGAAACTATGTTAACTCTAGGACCTTTAGTCAGTTGCATTTTAGTTCTTCTACCTTTCAGAATTTTTGGATGCTCTAAGATTGATTTTCTCTTGCCTTGTGCTTTTCAAAAGTTCTTTGACTTTCTATCGACAGTGAAGATCGAAGAGATGGATGGAGGTTTAATGATATGCAATGGGTTTATGAAATATTTTGGATGAGAATGAAAAGAAGAATTTGAAATGGAAATGGGATGAGAGATGAAATAATAAAAATGGTAATAAAGAATAATGTAATGATGAGTGGAATACTAATGGGCACACGCAAAAAATCATAAATTTGAAACACTTTGATTTGAAACAGAGATATATGATTCGAATCAAGAAGAAAAACTCTTGGTATTTGATTTTAGTTAGACAACTTTGTCGTTCGAATCAAACTCACAAGGATCACAAGAAAATTTTTGTGACTCAAATCAAAGAAAAATCTAATTCAAATTAGACGTCCAGGGGCTAAATTCTTTTAAAAATTAAGCTTGATTCGAATCATGGTCTTTCGCGATTGAAATCATAGACCACAATTTTGAAAATTTTAAAAAATTAATTTTAATGCATGAGAAAATTAATTATTTATTAAATAAAAAATAACACATAAATTTTTAAAATTAAAAAAATTTATGCTTATGAAAACACAATTTTTAATATTGATGAATGATGATGTTATACTCAGATGAATAAAAGTAATCAGGTGCATGATATGCTTGGATGAATTATTCTATGCATACAATTACACAGACGTATATCAAACAGACAACACACCAAACACATACAATTAAAGTACACTACAAGAAGATAAAAGGAGATTGGAATGATAATACCAATATGACGATCTAGGCTTTAACTTGCTGCACACTAAAATTTTTTTAAACGGAAACAAAAATAACAAAAGAAAATTACAATCAATCATAGACAATTGGATACTATTTCCTTTAGACGTATGAAAAACACTATCACACACTCCTCTGCAGTATATCAGATGAACTTAAATGGTAGATATTCTAATAATATTTTATCATCATAATGATAATGAGCATATGATTAGCTACTTCATTGTTTGAACAAATATATTGACAACCTCAAATAACTTATTCAACACTTTGAGAATGATATGACTCTGTCAAAACTTTCATAACTAATGCTATTTTTTTTTTGAATTTCTTAAATAATTATTGAGCAATTAGTGAACATCCCAAACTTCACGAAATTATCTTCATCTTCTTTTACGATGATCTTGGAAAAGCATTTCAACAGGATATGCTTCTTCTTCCTTTCACCAATCTTTCTCAAGATTTTAACATGTACACTTATGTAACGAAATTGTTAACTTTACGAATAATCATCAACTAAGGCTTTAAGCTAAAATGCTAGATTTCTGGTTACTGCACATAACTCAAAACTTTGTTAATTTAATCCTGGATAAATTTGATTACAATGAACTTCATGGTTATAATTAAAAAATAGATTAATAGACTAGTAGATGATAACTTTAGTTTACTCTAGGCCATTTAAGTAATGATGTAAATCAAGTATTCAGATGATGATGAAACATATTGGGAAAATATTCAAAAGAAATTTTGTTGAATAAAAAAGAATCCAAATTCTCAACTTTTAAAGTCGCTTAGACTTAATAAAAAAAACCAACTCTTAAAGCCAATTTTGACATAATGAGAGAAACTAACCCGCTCTGGTACTAATTGTTGGTATGTTCTCATTGATCATATGCTATGAGAGCATACCACCAAACGAATTCACATAAGACGATTCTTTAGATTCAGAAATCACAACGACTTTAGGTTAACAACCACGATTTAGGTATCTAATGACTTTGTTAATTACATCTTCATTTTGAAAAGTCTTACCCATAACTAAAAAATGATTAACAATGTGAATACACTATTTTTTTCATATCTTGGATGTTTTATTCTAAACAACTCATACTCATGATACAATGTATTCATCCTAACCTTTTTTACTTACGAGGTACCTTTATGGATAATTTGAAGGGTGTCCCACATTTATTTAAACCTTAGACCTTTTTACATCAGTTGGCCAAATGAATTCAAACACAAGAGAGAGTGAATTATGATAAAACAATTTTTAAAAATGTTAAGAAAACATTTGATTTTACTTGATTGATTTAAAAAAAAAAAGAGATGAAGCAAAGATTAATCACAGAAGAATAGATAATTGAAAATTAAAGAAATATGGAAAAGAAAGAGCACAATAGGATTTATACTGACCTTAAACCACATGATCTACTCAAGTCCTCAAAGATTTTTCTTGAGAGTTTCACTAAAAATTTAGTCTTTTATCACAAGATAAATCCATAACCTTATACACTAAGCTCTTACCCTGATCCAACTTGCAACCTTTATAATCATATCAGACTCAAAAGAGAATAACACTCTTGATTTACAATTACAACTCAAGCACATTTAAACAACAATTACACAAATACAACTATTACTAATTATTTCACTCTGAACAATAAAATAATTTTAAGTGTATAAAAAGTTAAAAAAAAAAGAGTGACTAAGAGAGAAGAGTAACATTTATTTATTTTAAAGCGAAGTCTTTTTTATATAGTGTTTCTTTTGGTTAATACAATTTTTTTTGGATCAAATCTGTTTCATAATCGAATTAAACTGTTGCTTTAATCGACTATGACCTATAAAATTAAGAAATAACTAGCGAAATCCAAAGTCTATTGAATTAAAAGATTTTTTAATATATTATGGAGCGTGTTTCTTTCAGGCTTTAATCGACTATGACCTAGAAAATTAAGAAATAACTAGCGAAATCTAAAGTCTATTGAATTAAAAGACTTTTTAATATATTATGGAGCGTGTTTTTTTCAATTAAACAAGTGCCATAATTAATTAGAGAGCGAAATTTTACTTTATAATTAATTAAATAAGTTTTTTAACCAACTAGTATTTTAAAGAAGTATACGAATATTTTGAAAATAAATGAAGCTTTTATAAACTTCAATTATTTTTTATATTAATAATTAATAATTTGTTATTAGGAATTAAGTTTTTACATTTAGCAATAACTAAATATTTAAAAATTATTTTATTGAATATAAATTGGTATTAATAATAATTTAAAATATTTTAACATTTATACTTCAAAAACATATTTGATGTTTATAAAAAAGAATTTGAATTATAATTTTTTTAATATGTCATTAAAAGCTTGAGGTATTTAAATACTAAATCTAATATCTTAACTTTTTATTTATATGATTTATGCCTATCTATCAATTAGCTTAACATGTCAATTTACTAATATAACTTATCCTCAAGCTATTATTAGATATTGCTGTTGAAAGATATCTACATCATATCATTTAACTTATTTGGATCCATTATCTATTATAAAATTTTCATGATTTAATTCATATACAAATCTTTTTTTGACAACCATAATTCTCACCTCATTAAAAATATTTGATTTTAATCACAACCCTACTATTAATGTATCACAACCAACCTAATGTATTATTATTTATTTGTCAAAAGTCAAATAAAAAATAACTTTCATGTAGAAAGAAATCAAATCAAATCAATTATTTTGATAGAAAAATTACAATAAAAAATTAATTAAATAAAATATAAAATCTAATCAAATTTAATCTTAACCTTAGTGATTAATATATAATAATTAATTATATAATCTAACACAATTGCATAATTTGTTTGTTGGTGTGTGTTCATTGGTGTTTTTGTTCTATCCTCTTTCACAAATCTATAGATCCTTCCAATTGTTTTGTCATACGGTTACAGTTTTGGGCCAAGAAAGGGAACTATCTTTGTCTTGTGCTGTGTTCTCTTGTGTTTTCGAGCACTCAGAAGAAAACCCTTTTCGCCATGAGACCTCAGAAAACTTCGATCCACGCCATCTCCACATGGGTCAGGCGACAACCACCAAAGGTCAAGGCTTTTCTTGCCGTCGTTTCCGGCATGGCCGCTCTTGTTCTCCTCCGATTCATCGTTCACGATCACGATAATCTCTTTGTCGCTGCTGAGGCTGTTCACTCCCTCGGAATCTCCGTTCTTATCTATAAACTCATGAAAGAGAAAACCTGTGCCGGTTAGTAATTAAAATTCTTTCAAGATTTTGAATCTTTTTAATTTTTGCGCTATTGGGTAGGTTAAAAATTTCCCCTTTTTTGTTCTATCAAAAGATCAATTTTTTGGGATTTGTTTCTATAGACTTTGATCCCTTTATTAGATTTCCTTAAAAGGAAATTGAATTTTGTCTTTACTTTTCTACGGTCTCAATCAGATTGGCATTGTTTAGCTAGTTTCAATTGTGTTTGGCTTAATTGGATCAAGAAGAGACATTAATTGAATTTTTGATTTTGTGTTGATAATGGTTTTGAATGAATGATGTACACAGGATTATCACTCAAATCCCAGGAATTAACAGCTATATTTTTAGCTGTTAGGCTGTATTGTAGTTTTGTCATGGAATATGACATACACACCATACTTGATTTGGCTACTTTCGTCACTACGGTGTGGGTTATATACATGATTCGTTTTAAGCTAAAGGCTAGTTACATGGAAGAGAAGGATAACTTTGCAATATATTATGTGGTAAGCTCGAATTGTTTCGTCCTAAATTTAAAAGCTTTTTTTTCGTTTTCTTTTATGGTAAGTATGGTAGTTTGACATTATTGATTTGAGTATTCAATCCAGTATGTTTAGATGATAGAGATGTACTATGAAGCAGCTCACATATTTGATGAGGCATTGTGTGAAATGGTTGTATACATTGAGATTTTTTTGTAACTTGTGCATTTGTCTTCCATCGACATCATCTTGATATACTTTACTTTTGAAAATGGATGCAGGTGTTACCCTGTGCCATGTTAGCCTTGGTTATTCATCCATCAACTTCTCATCATATATTGAACAGGATTTTCTGGGCATTCTGTGTATATCTGGAAGCTGTTTCAGTTCTACCCCAACTTCGGGTCATGCAGAACACCAAAGTATAATTTCTTAACTCTGGGATCTATGTCCGTCCATCTTCTAATGTATGGGATCTGATTCTATTATTTTCCTTCTGAATTGTTTTATTTTGTACTTTCAGATCGTTGAGCCTTTCACCGCTCATTATGTATTTGCACTGGGCGTAGCAAGATTCTTGAGCTGTGCTCATTGGGTTCTCCAGGTCTGTTCATGAAATTTCACAATTTCCTTAGTCAGTCCTTTGATTCACTTGCAAATTTATAACTACACATTTTTTTGAATTGTCTTTCCTGTTGATCAAGGAGTGGAGCGTGAACGAATTTCGATAAATTTTAGTTTTTGTTTTTTTTTCTACGGTATAAGCATGACTACAACATTTTTTAAGGGCATCTTGTGCTGTAAAGGTCTTGCTATTTTGTGAGGGTCAAACACCATGTAAGCTACAATAGACAAAGCAGTTCTTACCATATTGGCAAATGATACTGATTTGACAACCCAAATCTGTAATCCCTGAGTTACATGGCAGCACTCCTTCTGTTGCAATGTTTGCGTGTTTGCAAGTTTACATCTGATCTTATTGATGGTCACGTGGTTACAAGGATGCTGCTGTTATTACCTTGTTTCTTATGTTTTGTACTTGGATTTTGTAACCATTGATCTCCTACTCACTTTTACTATTTCTTGTAACAGGTGTTAGATACTCGTGGACATTTGTTGGTTGCCTTAGGGTATGGTTTATGGCCGTCAATGGTTCTTATTTCAGAAATTGTCCAGACATTCATCTTAGCCGATTTCTGTTACTATTATGTCAAAAGGTTAGTATAGTTCATAATATAGTTTTTCTGCAATCGTTTTGCAGCTTTTGCTGGTTGCGACTTAAGATATGTCCAGCACGACTCTGCGCTGTTGTCCTAATGATGTTTATTTAATTGCAGCGTTTTCGGAGGACAGCTTGTTCTACGTCTTCCCTCTGGAGTGGTGTGATTAGAGATTTATGCCCTCACATTTTCTTTTAACTTAATCAGGCATCATGTTTGGTTACCCATGTTAGACTTAGAGTACACTTTATGTTGACATGCTTATTCTGTTCCTTGGTGGAAAGTGTAAAGTTGGGGATGAAAGTAAACTAGATATATTTTATGTTTTGCGGTACGGTTATTTATTATGGTTCGAAATGTTTTATATTACATAAAGTCTCTATATGATTAGAGTTTTTGTTACAATTACTCTTCTTTATTGATAAACTTTGTATTACAATTGTATAAAGTGTTCAAGCACAAAGGTTCCTTGCTAGAATCCCCTCAAAAGTGATTCCAGGTCCAAAAGCAAGTATCAATCCCCATTCAGGATCTCCTCCTCCTTCCTTTCTAATCTTGTTTCCCTCTTCTATCATGTACTCCAGCACATAAACAATAGTATTACTACTAGCATTTCCATAATCCCTTAGAGCTTTCCGACTAGCATTCAGCTTCTCAGGCAACAGCTCTAGCCGTTTCTCCATGCGGTTCAATATCGCCGGCCCTCCTGGATGAACAGCCCAAAACAGCTTATTGTACTCCTTTTTCTCCAACCCACCAACATCCATTAGGCTGTCACAGAATCCCTCAACACTGTCTTCAATTATCAGAGGAAGATCCCTCGCAAGCGTGAAGCTTATTCCTTCCTCTGTCAGTTTCCCATCGATTTTCTTCTCAGTGTCTGGTATAAACTCCTGAGCTGAAGTATGAAGCTCAAACAATGGCTTCTCAGTTTCAAATATCGGGTCTGAACCGATTATCATAGCACCAGCACCATCTCCAAAGAGCGCCACACCAACAAGATCATAGGGTCTATCAGCACTCGGTGGCTTGAATCCAATAATAGTAGTCTCAGAAGTAGCAAGCAAAACTCTGCTACCAGGGTTGTTTTCAGCTATGTCTTTTGCAACGCGCAAACCAGCCACACCACCAGAGCAACCAGCGAAATAAAGCATGATCCGTTGAACTTTAGGACTCAGTCCTAGGCTGCTCGATAAATAAAGATCACCACCCGGTAACCTAGCTTCACTAGACGAAACATAAACCACATGTGTTATGTCTGATAAAGATCCACCCCAATTCTTTATGCAAGCTTGAGAAGCTTCAATTGCCATTTGTGTCACTGCCTTGTTACATATCTCTAGACGTTGTTTTACAGTAGTCGCGCCTTCAACAGCAAGTTCTGGATACTTTTTTAGTATCTCCTCTGACATAACAACATACCTCGTTTTCACTGTTGTTGTCTTGCCTGTTCATGTCAAATTAAGCCAAAGTTAATAGTTAGTAACACTTAATCGCCGTTTTAGTAAAAAAAAATACTCGAACTAATGTCTGTATTTCATTATATACTTACAAAGTCTAGCAAGTTTCTGCTTAAGTTCAGGATTATCACAATTAGTGTCCCTGAAATATCCATCAACTAAATACTCTTGCATCACAAGCTGGTGAGGGAAAGCCTTGCCAAGAGCCAATATAGTAGCCTTACCTGGTGTGACATGCTTTGTGACAGTTCTAACTATACCTTCATCTCCCATATTTCTTCTTTTTGCCAGTTCAAACGTGTATTATATTTGTCTATGCAGTGAATGTTATGTATCCACAATATTTTGGGTGGAGAATGCACAAGTATATATATAGTATTGTATTTTGTTTGCATAGTAATAATAGTGTGACAAGTTTAGAATAGGCAATACATGAAGTGTGCAATTGGTAAATGTGTGTTAGTTGGGAGGTAAGTCGTTCATAGTAATTGTGTCATACATTAGTTGCTAGAATGCTGTTTTGACTAATGGAATTTAGCTTAATTATAAGATCTCTCTATGTTTAAGAATCATGAAAATTTAAATTGAGTATTTTATACTTTTAAATTGTTGGATTTAGAAGTGTAAAAGTTATAAAATTTAAAATGAATATTTTATACTTTCGGGTAGAATTCAAAGTGTAAAAATGGTCAAATTTAAAATAAACATTTTATAAGTTCGGATTGTAAAATATGAAGGTGTAAACAAACATAAAAATTTTAAAGTGAGTATTTTACACATTTGGATTATAGGATTTGGAAGTGTAAAAGAAATTTGAAAATTTTGAGGTGAATAATTTATATTTATAGAATGTAGAATTCAGAAAATGTAAAAAAATTAGTGATTATTTTATACCTTTTGGGGGTAGGATCTTGTACAAAAAAGTTGAAAATTTTAAAATGAAAGTTATAAACATTTGAATTGTGGAATCTAAAAAAAAAAATTATAAGAAATGTGTGATTCAAAAAGGCATAAGTTATTAGAGAAATCTATCCTTTTTTTATCATGTTAGGTCGATTTGAGGTTGTATGAGAATTTGTGAAAGGCATGGGTTTGATGAATATAGAGCAAGAACTTTACATGGTCATTTTTTTTTATGGGATGATAATTTCAATTACATTGTCAATCTTTTTTTTTATTGGAAGATAATTTCAATTAATAAAGAAAGCGAAAACAAACTCAGGGTTCCAACGGAGGAAAGTCTTTCAACCAGGTTCTGGTTCCATACAATTTACCAAATTTTGTCAAATTATGGGCATTTTCATTGAACTCCCTGTTAATAAATATAACAAAGGATAAATTAAAACTCCTGAAGAAAACCCTGTAATCCCCAACAATCGGTTCAAGCACCACTACCGCAACATCTGATTGGATGATAATGTCGTTTACATTCAAGCTCATTGCCAACTGTAAGCTCCACCTAATGGCCAGAATCTCCGCAACAGCAGGTTCCGCAGATATAACATTCGACCTACATGCAACAAAGTTTGTGCCTTCCTCAGGGTCCTTCATGACACAACCAATTGTGACCACACCATCGTCAAAAACACCTGCATCAACCTGTATGACTGTGAGTTTATTGCCCTTCACCATGGGAATAGTGGAAGTTTTTCTTTTTGTGGTGATCCCCGGATTCCACTTGTTAAATTCATTGACAAGGCCAAGAGCCTCATCCGTTGTCTGCACAGGATTGAATAATTTATGTTGAAGTAACATCAAATTACGAGCCTGCTAAATTTTATAGGCCAGAGTGCCCAACAATTAAGTGATAAGCAAATCCCCATACGAGAAAATGCTCTCCAGCCATGAACATATCCCTAATACAGAAGGGAGCCTGCAACCCAGGATAGAAGAGAAAAATGTTTGTCTGGCAAAAACAAACTCTAAGAACAAATGGTCTGCAGTCTCCGCAGCAGCATGGCAGAGAGGATATAAAGTGTCGTGAATCATACCTTTTCTCCACAAGTTACTACGCGTGGGCATGATATCTTTTGCGAGCCTCCATAAGAAGTTACGAATCCTGGGGTTAAAAGGACCCTTCCAGATGGACTTCCACCAGACTTTGATGAGGGTGACACGATGGGCCAGGTTGCAGCCTCGCTTTTGCCTACATACACAAATCATAGGCCGACCACACAAAATATACCCCATTCTTTTCATAATGCCAAATAACTTCGTCATCAATGTTGCATTGGGAAAGAGGAATACTAACTATGTGGGACACTTCCAACTGCCCAAAACACGCAGCGACCAGATATTTTTTCCAAACACCAAGCTCATTATCAATGAGGTCACTCACCACAACCTCCCTATCCAAACTACCACCCAGACCAATGATTTTAAAGCCAGGATTACCAGGGATCCATATGTCTTTAAACACCATAACTTTCAATCCGTACCCAACTGAACAGGATTCTTGGCACTCAAAATGCTTCTCCATGCATAACTTGGGTTAAAATCAACTGAGCAATTGTCAAAATCGCATCTTGGATGGTACCTCCCCTTTAAGACTTCCCCACAAGGGACTTCATGTTTGATAGAAGCCTCCAATACTGCTTACCCAAGAGACTTGTGTTGAATTCACTTATGCCACGTAACCTCTTCCCTCCCTCACCATTCGCCTTGGCCAACTTGTCCCAGCTTAACCAATGAAGTTTCCTCTCCCCATTTTTTGAACCCCACCAGAATTTCACAATTAGACTCTCAATTTCCTTGCAAGTAGTTTCCAGAATCTTGTAGCAACTCATGATGTAACTTGGAATTGCTTGGTCCAGAACTTTAATGAGCACTTCTTTTCCCCGCGCGAGACAAAAACCTATCCATCTAGCCCTTTATTTTCTTCTAAACTCTTTCCACGACCATAGAGAAAACTTCCTTTTTTGACCTTCCGAAGATGACTGGTAGACCAAGATATCTAGAATGGCTCGAAACCGTCTTTACTCCCATCCTTAACCGGATCAAATCTTTATCATCTTCGCGCACATTTGACTAAACAGGGCCTAAGATTTATCAAGGTTTACCACCTGTCTAGAAGACATCTGATACTTGTTTAAAACCGCCAAAATTCTATCAGCTTCACAAGTGTTAGCACGGGAAAATAACAAACTGTCCTCCGCGAAAAAGAGGTGTGTGATCACTAGAGCTTTCCGCGCAATTTGCAGACCGTGTATCCTCCCTTCCTGGATTTTCTTCTTAATTAAACCCGACAACACATTTGCACAAAGAATGAATAAATAAGGTGAGAGAGGGTCCCCTTGACGGAGACCCCTGCCAGGCACAAAACTTCTGCACAGCTGCCCATTTAGCAGCACCATGTACGAGACAATTGAAATACATCTTCTAATAAGATCCACCATTTTGTCAGGAAAACCCATCGATGTAAGAACATAAATAATGAAAGGCCACTCCAACCTATCATAGGCCTTGGACATGTGACCCCTTTTCCCTTTCTTCCTCTTCTTAAGCCAATGAAAACACTCTATAGCTACCAAGGCATTGCCAGTGATAAGCCTACCTTGGACAAAAGCCCTCTGTTCATCATCAATGATTTTTGGTAAGATGTGCTTGATACGATTAGCAATGGCCTTTGTCACAATCTTTATCACAGCGTTACATAAGCTGATTGGCCTGAAATCCCTAGGAGTAGAAGGATTCTTGCACTTGGGAATCAACGCAATGTGTGTTGAATTTATACCCCTCGAATCTCTACCATGATTCAAAATATCTAACACCAACTTGCTAACCTCATCTCCCATGATATGCTAATACTTCTGGAAAAAGAGGGCTGGAAGGCCATCCGGGCCAGGCGCTTTTAGAGGGTTCATTTGTGAGAGAGCATCCTTGACTTCTAGTAGTGTAAACTTCTCATTGTACCAGTTGACATGCCACAACTTCAATTTCCTTGCACAACCCTACAAACTTCATCAATGTTTACAGGATTAGAGGTGGAGAAAATGTCCTCAAAATATCCAGTAAGTAATTTGTCACAGTGGTTTTCACCCCTCCACCAGAGCCCCCGATTGTCCTTAAGTTTCTTTATGGTGTTTGTATTTCTCCTCTGATCAGTTTTCTTGTGGAAGAACTTGTTGTTCTTGTCACCATGTTGGAGCCATAAAGCTCTGCTCTTTTGTCTCCACATAACCTCATCAATTTGGAAGAGTTTTTGCCGCTGATCCTCCAACGCCCTGTATGTTTTAATATAATCCTCCTCCGAATCCCACCTTGCATCATCCTTCAAAAGATTCTCAATTCTTTTAATCTCCTAGTTAACAGCACCTACCATATACTCCTTGAAATGCTCCCCAAGATTTTGAATTGCATCGAATTTCCTCAGGTTTTGACAAGAACTATTGTTTCACAGTTGATTGACCAAATCTTCGCATCTTGGACATCTGCTCCAAATCTCCTCAAATCTGAATAAATGAGTCCTTTCCCCCTCTTTCCTCTCCACTTCAGCTTCCAGATCTATTCTAATCGCAGTGTGGTCTGACCTATACCTCGTCAACTGACTAACTTTGACATGTGTAAATCTGTTAAGGAAGCCGTTATTAGCCAAAACTCTATCCAACCTGCATTAGATATTCTCCCCACCCACTCTCCCATTAGTCCAAGTAAAAAGGTAACCCTCAAAGTCTACGCCAATGAGCCCACAAACCTCCAAAGAATGTCTCCCATGGGACAACTGGCTAGGCGTTCTTGAAATTCCCCCTTTTTTCTCGCTATCCAAAACCACATCATTTAGGTCGCCAAAACCAATCACTCTGTCTCCCCCACTGCTGACCAACTCTTAGATAAGCAACCAAGTATTCTTCTTCTTATGATTTTCAGGGAAACCATATATGCCAAAAAATATCACGGTTGGTTGTCTTGATCATCCACTCCAAATCCCCAATATGATTCAGGGAGTAAGACAAAATATTAACTTGAATCCTCTCTTTCCGCAAAAGAAAAAGCCCCCCTGAACGCTCATGGCCATACCCATTTCAATCAACGGCCAAAAACCCTTCAAAACCAGACTTAAATTTAACCTTCTGAACCTCTTCCTGCTTAAGACGAGACTCCATAACAAACACCATATCAGAATTTTCATTTCGGATGAGCCTCAACAAAGCTTGAACTGCACGGGGATTTCCCAACCCTCTGCAGTTCCAACTTATCATCTTCATTATTGTAGGCGGTGTTGGTCTTCCAACACCACCTCTGGTACAACTTCTGTTCCTTCCACAATACCTGCT